CAGCCCGACTGGAGGCCGCGTCCTCGGCATGGACGTTGAAATCACCCACGACCAACAGCCGAGGGTGCTCCAACGCCCAGCCTGATACGGCCTCCAGCAGGGACGGCAGGCTATTGGCCGGTGCGCTAGGCGGTCGGTACACCATCCAAATCGCCAAACTCTCCTCAGCCTCCAGCATCGCCCCAACACACTCTATGCCTGCGATCTCCACAGTCGGGAGCGCCCTGAAGGAGTAAGCCTCTCGAATGAACATAGCCACTCCTCCCCCCCGCCCCTCTATGCCCGCGATCTCCACAGCCGGGAGTGCCCTGAAGGAGTAAACCTCTCGAATGAACATAGCCACTCCTCCCCCCTGCCCCTTCGTCCGCGATTGGTGAAGGACCGAGAACCCAGGGGGGGCCAGCTGGGTGAGAGCTACTGTCTCTCCCTCCCTCACCCAGGTCTCGGTCACGCATGCCAGGTCAGCTTGTTGGTCGATAACAAAGTCCCGCAGGACAGCAGCTTTGTTGTTGATCGACCTGGCATTGCACAGCACCAATGACGGAGAGGGGTACTCCGTAGCCCCACTGCCAGTCACCCTTGGGATGGGCTTTAGGCAGGAGGGATGCCGAGCCATTCTATTTCTCCGCATCCTTCCCTCAGAACCTCGCCTCGGCCCACCACTATACTTCCCCCTCCCCCAGAGCACCGGAATCGAATGACCAGGGAACGACCAGGCATATTCAGCATTGAGCGATCTCCGCAAGGCCTCAGATCGCCCGTTGCTTGCAAGCTTGGGTACATAAACAAAGATGAGAAATACACTCCGCAGCAGCAAACTAACTACTCCTCCCTCCCCTGCTATCAAATCATATTAGGTGCTACACAATACAAAATTCTTAACCAAATATCAACAGTGAACCTAGTCCCCCTAACTTGATTCCCTGTCCAGCTATCACACTCAATCCTCTTGCAGCACTCAGCACTTCTTTACAGCAGATAAACCATCACTCTCTCCTCATGAGCTCAGCATTCACACAATTATTGCTGCCCCTGTCTATCACTTCCCTCTGCATCCACTGCTGTTCCCGGCAGGAAATCTCTCAACCCTCAGGGCAAGATCCCAGTGTTTTGTATCGAGTCCTCAGTTTTGGGACGTTTGTCGAAATCGGCCTGGAGACCCAGACTGCACCTCCAGCTGACCTAATCCAGCGGCAAAGTCCAGCAGGGCTGACACGTCCAGCCAGCGAGAGGGGTCCACAAAAGGTAACAACCCCCCGTTGATCCTCTTGCCGCCGGTAGTTCTTTTCCTGGCCGATGTTTACTGCTCCTGTGACCGACTGCTCCTTAATCGTGCTGGGAAGAAGAGTCCCGTGCTCCAATGATCTCTCTCTCTGGACGCGGTCCTCCGGCGTCCCTTGGGGAGTCCAGTGCTGCCCCACAGGACTCTCCTGCCGCGCCCACTTTCTCGGTCCCTCCAAACCCAGTCCGCTGGGCGCCGTCTCAGGGGCTTCCGCGTTGTCCCGCAGGGTCCTCCAATCAGGGCCAGGCCCCCAGCGCCCCCGCGGCGCCCCACCAGCACCCCGGCGTCTTTTTGAAGAGCCCGGTCCGCTGGGCATCGTCCCGAAGGCTCCCGCGCTGCCCCGCAGGGTCCTCCAGTTGGGCCCCCAACGCCCCAGCAACGACAAGGCAGGCACGCCCCGGGCTTCGCTATTGAGGGTCAACCCCCTCGTCTCCCCCACTGACTCACACCACATCTGGACAGGCCTCCAGCCTCCGTGCCACCAGCCTCGTCGGCCTTCAGTCTCGATGTTGTCTCGGAGCTGACGCTCCGCAACAGAACAAACCGAGCACAGCCCGGTATTCCCACCATCCGGTTAACCATGCAAATCTGGTAACCGTGCAGAGTCCAATATTCCTTAACCCACAGAACTTCATTTAGCATTTAGCATGATTTTAAAAGCTAGTCGGAGGAGCTTGAGCACCTAAGCTTCCTCCAGGATGCCATCTTGCCATCATGTTACTCACCAGAGAACTCCCTTCATCAGATACTGAGTCTTGTCCTCATCCCACAGGCATTTCACAAAGGCAGCTTTTCTTGGTATATCAGGAGCAGCCAGGAGTCCTCATTGCCCAGCACTCCTTTTTTTTAAATATCTTTTTATTGGTTTTGTTAAAAGGTTTACATAATACAAAAATTTATTGATTCAAGGTTTCTACATATAGCAGTTAAGATAATGACTTACAGTTTAATGACATACAGCCACCACACAGCACTGGTGAGTTACTGTGAGTTTGATATTTTTAAGTTATCTGATGTAATCTATAAATATAACCATTTATGATAAATTTGCTTAGCAGGGAGTATATCATTCGTTACCATACAGTCTAGCACTGGGGCCCATATCCTAACAAATTTGGTGTAAGTCAGTGTATTACTATTATTCGCTCTATTCAAGAAGTCCGTAATTTTTGCCATTATAAACTGATCCCATACCTTCTCTTGCCAAGCCGAAATTGTGGGGGGGGGGGGGGATTTTCCATGACGCTGCTATTGTCAACCTTGCTGCAGCAAGTAACGTTGAAATGAGTTATTTGCTGCTCCCTGTCATCGTTTCATTCCACAAATTTAGCAGGATTGCATGGCAATGTCTGCCTAG